AATGTTTTGTTGGCTTTGTCTTTCTTTATCACTTCTTTAATATGTTTCCTTATAATTTCATTAGATGAACTTGGGTGATGTGTCAGTCTAAAAGAATGAGATGTGCCTGCCCTAGTTGTTGCTAAAATAGGGAGCCATGCCTTTCTGTGCGTAATTTTTTTACGTGGTTGGTATTCCTTTGAAGCCATGCTGCTTTGAAAGTTTTATGCTTCTGTGTATTATACATGCCCTGTCAATTTAGAGACTAGACCTGTCATTTTTCAGATCTCATGCCTTTGTTCTTTGTTAAGGCTGATCTGCTCCATCAGGCCCATTAAGTCTTTCTCTTTTATTTTCGTGTGGCTCTTACTTGAACAAGAGAAACTTCCTTCATTAAGAAGATTATGAATATCATATTCCTTTGTACAAGCAAGAACTCATGCTTTGAGAGGGACTTGGGCAAACACAACCTTGGAAAATACACATAGAAGAATTTCAATTTGAAAGCAGTTGCATCTGGTTTCTCGTTCTTTTCATCTTCCATGTGCAGAATTTACTGGAAAGCCTAGCAAAGGGCTCCTTTTCATGTTTACTGCATATTGTGCCTTGTGTGTACAGATACCAGAGTCCTTATATTTATTTAATGAGCATTTTGTAATTTGGAAGTGGTATTATCTCTCAGCTTTATAGACTTGATATTCGATACGACGGTATTGAATGAAACCTGCAAAAGTGGTTGGGAAGAGTAAGGGCGAAACAGAGCACAGGTGATAATCCCTACAGTGGGAAATGTAGACCTCCTCATTCCTGAACCAAGGAATTCCTCCATGTTTCCAGATGAGAAAGAAAATTCTTCAGCATTGCTAATTTTCGGGTTTCATTTAAATGAAGTGGTGTTCTTCTAACCCCTTCATGTTTTATGCAGTGAAATGCACTTCTTTGTGTGATTGCTCATCTGACCCTCATGGTGATCTTGCCTGTGACTGCTGCTGATTGTTGCAATAGTTTTGCTGAGACACAGCAGGGGGACCATGTTTTATAGCAATATTGCTGTCACTCAGGGCTCCTTATTGTATTGGGGAAATTTTGGGGGAATTAAACTGCTACTATTTGTAGTGTAGGTAGCTCCAAGAAGATAGAGGATAAATACCACAAAGATCAGTATTTTAAAAGAAGCATTATTCTAGTTTACTGAAAGCAATAAACATGTAACTCCTTCTTCTGAAACTGGCATGGGAGGAAAAAATTTGCTAATGCTTTCGTTCTTGCTGTCCAGCAGTTTCTTTTGGAATGAACCCTGTCTGTCCTTGGCACAGAAACCAATTGTGAAATAACTAAGTTTTGTGGAGGAAGGTACAGTGCAATATAGTCTGAAAGAAATGGGGAGGAAGTTTTTCTGGGGATAATTCTGTAAAACTACTAATTTGTAAAACTATCAAACTGGTACACTTGGAAGCATTTTCCCTTTAGATAACAGTTTAGCTGGAGGTTGTTCAAACATGGTAGTTTTCCTTAGTGCCATAAACTAAGGAAACTAATCCAGGAACTGGGTGGTGCTCTGCACTCTCACAGACGGAGTTGAGTCACTTTTCTTCTGCAAAAAGCAGACAGGTCACTGACAAGAACAAGGCATTGATGACCCCAGGCTTAGGTACTGTAAGTATTTAGGCTACAGAGGAAACAATAACTTATAAACTGAACTATAAATATTGGTTGTACTGAAGTAGTTGTTTTGTTGAATGAATACTGTTTTGTGTTCAGTCATCAAACCCTTGGAACCTGGAATGATAAAAGGTCACCTTAATGTTTTAGGGCAGGATTAGAGTTTTGAACTATTCTCAGTGCTTTGTGTCATCGTCCTCCTTCTTTTATTCCTGGGGCTTTTGGATCTCACTGAAAAGGTTTCTAAAATTAATCCCTAATGTTTCAGAAATCGCTTTGGCTAATTTCTGACCTTTACAAAGTGAATTTCACCTATAGATACTATTGTCCTGGTTGCTTATACCTTTTCAGAGTTGTCTATGAACCATTCTCACACCTGTCTGTCTTTTCTGCCATCACTGAGTGAAAACACCGAATGCAGTGACTACCCATATCATTCAGTACTTCCTTTCCTCTGCTGTTGCGTTGTGGAGGTATCTTTTGTCTCTTACTGCTAATACATGTGTAGGAATTTTTTTATGCCTGTAAGCTGGAACCCATTTTGTACCTTAGCTGTTTTTAGCTTGCTACTTCGTATTTATAGTATTCTGTCATCCTCATATTATGCTACTTTTTTTCCTGCATCTGTTTTTGTGCCTTTAATTGGTAATTTTATCAGGTTTTGTGTCATTCCTTTGCCACATGCAGTTCAGTTTCTTGAGTCCATAGAATCTTTCTAGACCTGCTCTGATTTCCTCAGAGGAAGTTCTAACCCTGTCTTTTCACTTCTGTCCAAATTGTGTCTGTTAATCATGACTCTGAGTTTGGGGACTTTTAAAGTAATGGCCTGTTTGTCTGTTGAAAGAGCAATGTATCAGGATATTTGTTCCTTTCTAGTCCTGTCACTTGGTTTTCTCAGCCAGCCCTGTCCATGCAGTGCTCAGCAGTGCAGTCTCAACCTTTTTTCTCTTTTGTTTGAATGTCTTGACACAGCTTCTGTTTTGCTTCTCTATGATTTCCACACTTCATGTTCAACAAGGCTGAACTTTGGAATGAGGTGGAGTGCATCACATGTGTATCACTTTCAGGACAGGTTTCCCCTTTAAAGGAGCATTCCTGTCTCTTATGTTACTGCATCTCTACAGTGCCAGTTATGATGTCAAATCTAATGTGGGACATGTAGAGAGACTTGTATTCTTCCTGTTTTAAGGGCACAGCACATGCAGTGTGATCAAAGATCCATACAGTAGGTTGTCTAAGGGAAGAATAACAGATGCCTAAAGGAAGAATAGATCAAGTAGATGGCAGTGCTTCCCTAACGGACTTTTTCAGCTTTCCATAAAGAAGTCCATGACTTATTGTGTATGACTGAGGTTTATACTCATGGGTATTTAGTAGGTAGCCCATTATTCATCCCTTTAGTTTTTTCTTACAACAATTGTGGTTTCCATCCTAATCTCGTGGTGGCTGGTTCCCTTTTTTTTAAAAAAAAAAGGTATGTTTTTTAGTTTCTTCCTAGTTTATTCAGAAAATCCTGTTAGGAAGTGTCTTTTGCTATCTGTGGAGATGAGAAACTAATAACAGCTTTTTTTTTTAAGCCTGTCTAAAACCCAGTAACTGTAGTATTGCACTGTTCCTGCCAAGTTTCCACAAGAAGTAGGTTATTACTAAGGAACTGTAAACGGTTGAAAAATATATTTGTAATGGAAACAGTGATGGTTTAACTGTAGTGCTTGTGGGCACTTCTAAACAGCATAGCTTTTCCATCTCCTGACTTTGGAATTCCCGAGTGCCGGTTCCTCGCTGCGGCATTGCTGTAGTAGTCATCACTGTCTCTACATAGAGTGGCTTCAGCAGCACTGTTGTTCATACTGCAAATATGCTGCTCGGGGTGGTTCAACAGAGTGTTGTTTCCAGCCTGATACACAAAACAAACAAAAACCCAAATCCGTGGCTTCCTTTTCTGATTTTGGTGGCAGACAGTTCTCAGCGGCGTCCAAGTTACACCTTGGGTAGAACACAGTTAAAGAAAAAACATACAGTTTTCACTAGAGGAGCAATAAAACCATCTTGATTTAAGGAAGTAGATATAAATAGAGAAAATTTGAAATCTGTCCAACTTTATAAACCGCTTGAATATTTTCAGGTCCCACATCTACAGTATTTCCTGTCATTTTCTTGCATTAGTCATTTTTCCATGTTTCCTTTCTCTCCTTGGTTGTGGGAAAAAGGAGGGAACAACAAAGCTGTCAGAGAATGTGAATGAAGGGAGGTGATCTGCTTTCTGTAGTCTGTTCCTGTATAGAAATGAGTTTTAGATATGAGTATTGCATTCGAATCTTGGTGCTAATCCCCATCCGCAGGCATTCCATAGGGATCGATGCTCACTTAGAGCTGCTGAACACCATCATCTGCCCAAGCTCAAGTGAGCAATCATTTTCCCAACTTTTTAGTTGCCAACTTTGCAGCAGCTTTGATTCTTTCCAGTGCCTAAAAGGGGCTACAGCGGAGCTGGAGAGGTACTTTTTACAAGGGCATGTAGTGATAGGACAATGGGGAATGACTTTAAACTGAAAGAGGGCAGGTTTGGGTTAGATATATACCATGTGAGGCCAGGTTAGATGGGGCCGGAGCAACCTGGTCTACTGGAAGATGTTCCTGTGCATGGCAGGAGAGTTGGAACTGGATGATTTTTAAAGTCCCTTCCAACCCAAACTATTTTGTGATGCTATGAAAATTACATTACTTGAAAGTCTTTGTTACCTGTATGAAATAAATGCCTTCTGAATGCCTTTGGTTTGCAGTATGAGGAATTGGTGTTGCCTGATATGTCTTGTTTCCACTGTTTGTAAATTTTTGGGGGGGCGGGGAATACACATAGCAGTTTACTTCTGTATGTGTCCACAATATGCATCTAAGATTCTTATGTGTCTGTTTCAGAACTACTATGGAACCCCAGCAGCCTTGTAGGCTTGGAAGGCTTAAGTCCAGGTTTGGAAAGGCCTTTTCTGTTCCAGATGATTTGCTGGTTTAAGCGCTTAATTAGGATGGCTCTTGAACAAGTTGGATTGACCATGGAATCAGTAAGTGTTTCAAAATTCCTTTATGTTTTCAGAAAAACATGTACACAAAGCACTTCATGTATATTAGTTTGTGCTTATCTATTGCAGCAGGACCCTTAAAGCATACTCAGTACTTAAATAATTCTGCATTGCAGAAAAAGTATGATGTTTACTACTTGGACACTGAAGTACTGAGTAATATATGTGCTGAAAGTACTGTGCAGTTCCTTCTAGCTCTAGTAACAAACCCTTTAGTTCGTAGACACTGATTTTCATGCTGGACTTCCATGTGGGTTCTGAAGCTGAGGGAGAATTTTCAATTTATTTTAGCAGTGATTATTATTTGCTCTTACCTTGGAGATGTGAAAAGTCCCGTGAAACTGAGATTATTAGAATTGTGCTGTTTACCTCTTTTGAAAGTGTTGCAGAGAGCAACAGAGCTGTGTTCTTTACTAGGTAAACAGAGGAATGTGCTTGCATAGCTCTCCTCTTGGGGGAAAGTGTATATAGTTTATTTTGAATGCTTAGCAGAGAGAGCTGCTACACATCAAGTGTTTTGTCACTGGGACCTTTAGGAAGCTATTTTGACTACAAGTATTGTACTTCATTGTCCTAGTGCAGTAATGCCTGTAAGTTGTGGAAATATTTTAATGTTTTAACAGCAGGGAAATCCTTAACAGCTATGTGCAATGTGTTAGCCTGTGTTATTGTGGTTGAACTTTTTATCAGTCTTGGGAATCTATGGAGAGCAAAATGTTTATACATTGTAAATTAAAATGGCCAGCAAGAATCTGTATTTTAGGATTTTGTTTGAACTTTGAAAATTCAAAGCGTAAGAATATGTTGCATTACCAGAGGTGTTTGCTGTGGTCATTGTCAGCAATGACCACAGTTCAGCAATTCCAGCCTAAATAGGGGGAGGAACAAGTTTTTAATATATTTCCCCTCATTCTCTGCTTGTATCAAGCTTGTGATAATGCAGTTACATTTCCAAATGTCAGCTGTTCTGAACAACAGCAAAACACTGATGCAATAAGAGTGTATGACTAAGTAATGTTTTGCAGACTTGCTCTGCCAGTGCTTCAAGTCAACAAGAAGCTGTGTGAACTTGGTTAGAGCAGTGCTGAGACTTACTAGCTCAGTTGAGCAGTGTGCTGAGTTTATTTGCACACCTTGTGGCACAGCTTGCATGCAGTTCTCTGAAAAATATTGTCCTGGTGTATCTTGAATTGCCAAAATTGAGCCATTAAAAGTTCTGGTGCACCAAGCCATGGTTGTTGAACAGCCCCATGGGCATTTGGGCACCAAACATTTTTGAGTATGTGGGTGCTAGTTAACATCTTGTCTGTGGTCTGAGCAATCTTTAAACAAGTTCTGTCACTTGTTTAAAATGCACTGCACTTATGATGGTAATACAGCATGTAGTCTGGGCTCTCTTGCTGTTGTGGAAGTACTTCTGCAATTAATTAAGCCTTCCTTTGACTGGTATTATTTTTCCAGTGCCACATTGCTTTAAGTCTATCGCCAACAGTTCTGCTTCAAACATCAGTGTCAGCTGTGAATAGTGAGCCTGTATTGCTGTGGTGCTGTTTGTCAGTGATTTGTTCATGAAGGCTATTTACCTGCTGTTTGCTCAGACATAGACAAACAGTAATGTGATAGTGACAAACATGAGGGCTTTGTTGAGGCAACCAACATGCAGAATCAATAGAGTACTCTGCTTGGAAAAATCTGTGTTCAATCTGTGTATTAAGCAAGAGAACATCCGTTTTGTAGAATGGAAAAATGTAGGTCTGAGTGGATTAATGGCAAACTTGCAGCTCTGATGTGAGGATCTAGCATAGCATATGTGCAGTGCATGTGTGTTTTGTCAAAATTTTCACATCCCTCTAAAGCCAGAGGAAGGAAAGATACTTGTTCAGAAATAGGCAACATGTTTGGTTGAAGTTTCTGAGGTAATCTGGGAATAAATACCATGGAACATAAACTTTGCTTTTTAATAGAACCTTCAACATCTAAGAGTTGTGATCTTTGCTTAGTATATCAGAATGTTCAGCTGTGTGTTGTGGAACTCCCACAGCTGCACTCCAGTAGTCATACAGGCAGTATTGCTGTGCCAGGCAAGGGTTGTTTCAGTATTAATAGCCTGGATTTTATCTAAGTTTTCCTTGTTGGGCAGCCTTCTAACAGGATGTTGAGTTTGCTTGAAGCTATGAGTTTTCAAAACTAAGGTCTGAGTAGTAAATTCATAGTTACAGCTGTAAGTAAACAGTGGCCAAGTTTTTTAAATTACCATACAGTGTTCTAACTGTTTGCTAACAACATACCCTGTGTTTGAGTCTTCTCATTATTCTTTTCCTTCTTTGCATTGTCATTGTTGCCTTTCCCCATGCTGAAATCTTCTCTACTCTCTGGGGCTTTTTGCTTATGTTCTGGCTCATTTTGTACTATTCTCCTAGGACTGAACTCTCATTTCATTTCATTTCATTTCATACAACTATGGTAAATAGTACAGTAATCACTAAATGCAACAAAAAAGAGCAAATTTAATCCCTATTGAAATAATGTAGAGGAAATCTAAATTGCACTAGGAGCAGTTCTGATGAAGGGAGGTGTGTTGAGGTGCCATGGGCAGTTTTCTCTAGGTGATGTTTGGGTGGTTTCTTTCTTGTAAAAATTTTATTTTCCCCTTTTTACTTTCCTTTGCTCTTTGAGTTCATAGTTACATTTTCATGTTTGTTCTAGCTGGTATTTTTTTCTGTTAAGAATGGCAGACACTATTCTTGTTTTAGAAGAGCTCTTAATTAGAAAAGGAAAAGGGTATTTTGGGAGATGTAGAATGACATAACTATGATTTTTTTTTTTATGGCATTCACTGATACAGAATTCAGTGTATATACCTTGTATTCTATTCCAGCATGAAAGGAATAACTAAATATGCTTAGCACAAGTGTGGTGTGTGAAGGGTAATGGAAAGTTATTCCAATAGGATATAAAAATCAGTTCACTAACAGCTGGCTTCTTTTTTCTTCCCATCTAGGTGCTTTGGTCAAGCAAGCCTTATGGTTCATCTCGAAGTATTGTAAGAAAAATTGGTACTAACCTCTCTCTCATCCAGTGTCCAAGAGTTCAGTTTCAGGTAGGTGTTCTCAACAGTGTAGAATGTGCATTTCACTGTTACTGATAAAGGGATTTGCTCATGACTGGAAGGCTGTAAAACCAGAACATGATAAACTGGGCGCATAAGAGAATTAGCTTCCTCCAGTGCTTGCTGCTTCCAGTTCAGATTTTTTGCAAATAGGGATCATTGAGCTTCTGTACTGCCTAAAACTGGAATCCATGTTGCTGTGACACACAGAATGAAACATAATGAATATTTTTCCGAAGGAATTTGGAACTTCTAAACCGAGGCAATACAGTATTAAGAAGTTAATTTTTGAAAAAAAATGTATTCATAAAAGAGGAAAATGTTCTAAACTTATTTCTATAAACAGCACGTATAAGATAGGCTTGAGAGGCATGTAAAATGATCAGTGTTACTTAAAAATATTTGGGAAAATAAACAACTTTATCAGAAAGTGAAAACAATTAGTAACAAGATAACATGAGTGCCCTGTTTGCTTTTGTTTTAAATACAAGGCCAGCACTGGGTGGGTGAAAGGGAAGGGTAAAGAGTGAGGGTAAAAGCTTAAGGAGGAAAAAAAACCCCTTGCTTTTTATAATGAGTCTTTTAGGAACAGATGGGAATGTGGAAGCTGTTACACATAATCTCTTCAACTGTGTGTTAGGGGTAGGGGGTGGGTATAGAATTGGAGAAATGTAGTGTTTGAACTCAGGCTGAGAGAGGAATGTTTCGTGGGCTGAGCAAGAGTGGGAGCAATGAATGGAGGGAATGATCAACTGTGCTAAGCTAAGGTAATTTCCACACAGCTAAATTTTTCACTGTTTAATTTCTTTATCCTATATGAAATAGTATTTCAACTTGAAAATGTAGTAGCAAAATCAGATAGTTCACATTACCATAGAAGTGTTGTTGGTGGGATAGTAAAAGCCATGATAACATTTTGCCTCTTTTAAATAATTACATTGATAAACTGGGAGGGGGCAGCTGTTTCCCACTACTGGTGGGTTGGTGAGACTTGAACAGCAAAGGAGGTTGGGGGATTTGTGCAGATGAGAAGGACAACAAAGTGGCATGCTGGATTTAAATTTTTGGATATGTAATTGGCAGTAGTTTTGCCAGCAATAAGGCTCCCTGTGCCTCAGATTCGAAAGGAAGTGAAGTCCTCCCTCCTGTAATGTGTCTGATTTTCTGTGTTATAAAGGCCATACAAAGGAATGTGATGCTCATTTGCAGATAGTTAGCCACATACTGCCTTTTCTTAATATGATACATAAAAGATGATGTTTCTGCTTTATGCTCTTGCAAAGAACAGTAAGATCTGTCTGGGGAATCTGTCCCTGAATATTTTTAGTGTTCAAATAAATAAATAAATATTGTATTTATTTTAACAGGATTCAGACCATAACACATATATGTATTTGTCTTTTTTTTCGTCTTAAAGTGACATTCAGTCAGCTTTGTGTGCACACCAAGTGTAAACATTCACCTTCTATTAGATGAAAGGAAAGGATCCTAAAAGCAGAAGTACAGTTGTCAGAGGTGATGTAATTAGAAATAGGAATTTCAAAATTTGAGCCTTGGAACACATTAAAATGTACATGGTTTACACAGACTTTGAACTGTTTCAATGTATAAACTGCTGAACGTGTAACAGTGTGATGCTAACACCTGTTTTTTCTATCTTTATCTCAGCATTAAGATTCTGTAGTGAAGTTCAGTACTGATCTCGATCGTTTTCATGCTGTTGCAACTGATGCTTTCCTCTACCTGTCTCTTCCTCCCTTTATTGCCACCTTTAGCTATGTTATGAAAGGACCATGCACTGAATCTTGCTGTAAGTCACTTTATTTAAAATACCAAATCGAATCATATTTGCCTCATCTGATGGTGCATGTATGCAATCAGTGTTTCTAACTCCAGACAGCAAACTTTCCATAGGTCTTCATTTTCCTTACGATACATGGATGAGAGACACTGAAAAAATATCTCTGTTACGTTTGTACTTCTCATCTAGTGTGACTCTGCTCAGCTAGTCTGAAAAAAAAGAGTAGTAGCCTAACATTTTGATGTTTGAGGTCTACTGACTGTTTTATCTGTCTTACAGATCTTGCCATAGTAAACATTTAAATTAATTGCTGAATGCTGCTCATGTATTCAGTAAGAGGTGGCAGACCTTACTTTATGTACTCTGTGTGGCATGAGCAAATGAAAATGGTTCATATAGTTCTTTTGTATGTCATATCTCTTAGGCTTGTCTGTAGTCTTCAGGAGAAAATAGAGTTCTGCTTAGCAGTGTAGCCTGGGTAGATCCAACCAAACCTACAATACTGTCTCTCAAGAGAGTATCCTTCAGCCGCATCATCCCTGTTTTAGTCCTGTGTGTCTCCTGGATGGATGCCTGATGGATACCTGTTAGCTCAGTAGAAGTCTCCAAAGGAATTGGTGTGCATGTAGCAAACATCAGAATTTACTGGGCTGACTGGAAGAATCATCGTAAGGTTGTCTTTCTTGAAGAAGTATTTGCAAGCGTTTAATACATAACTATATCAGTAAATTGAAATTAGAGCTTTTATTCTGCCCTGAAATGTATAAAAACAGTTGTTCTGTTCTCCACTCTCTGGAGCAAACAAAAAGCACAGGGATCCTGCCCCGACACACTCCTGAGTGGCGTTTCTGTAGTGTAGTGGTTATCACATTCGCCTAACATGCGCAAGGTCCCTGGTTCGAAACCAGACGGAAACACTGGCGTGAGGATCACTCTTATGGGAATTGAGCTTGAGGATTCTTTATGCATCCCTTCCAGCTTGAGATATTCCACGATTGTGTGGCATCCACCAAAACAGTACAGTGCATATTGTCTTCAGAAGTTCCTGACGGGTCTGAAACCCACAGGTGTGTGTGTGCAGAAGACATGCACAGTGAAATACACAGAAGAGCCTGCAAAGGGTGAAGTTGGGGGAGCAACTACATAGTTTCTAGAGAAAGAAAAGCAACCTGCTTGCTTGATTTAATCAGTTCCTGTCATCCAGTGGAATTTGGCTTTCTGTTTTCTGTTCTCCATTTTAGGTGCTGGCAGAGTAGTTGTCCAGGTTTTCTTCTGCTGAGATGGACTGGAGGAATAGGGTAGTCACAGAGTTGTTGACAGGCAGGTCAAGGTTTTAAGAGATAAGTGTTGACTTTTAACCTTCAAACTGAAGTAAAAATGTTGCCTTAACTTGAAATTTGAAATCCACTGCTGTGGAAAGCTTTGCTGTTTGTAGGGATAGAGAAAAGAAACATCTGTATATGGGGTAACAAGCAGATTCTGTTTGCATATAAATATGAATAAAAAAATAAGAAGAAACTTGTATCACAATATAACAGAAGGCTTGCTGCTAAATGTTGGATTAAAAGCTATTTATCTCACGATGCTGGAAACCTGGCAGTGCTTAATGTATTCCTCACTGTTGATTTATAAAATTATTTTTGATTCAAGTATGTGTAGTGCCTTTAAATAAATGTGGTTTCAATCTTTTGATGGTAATAGTTCCTCATGTGGCCATTGCTGTCAGGAAAATCTCTGTCACCTGCAAGGAGTGACTAATGTATTACAGACCTTTTAAATTGCCATTAACATTAATACAAATGTGGTGGTGGTGAAAATTTCTATTAATTTTTAAAAAGATGGAAGCCAAGGAAGCCTCAAACAGAAAAAATCCTAACATGCAATGCAGTATTCTCTAGGCTGTTTTAAAGAGAGGCAGACTGTAATGGTATTAGGCACAACTGTTAATGTGATAAACATATTACCATCTGTGCTGATGCTACCTGGAAAAAACCCTGTTGTTTCCAAATGATCTGATGGTGCCAATACACACTCCTGGGAGCTGTGATAAAGGCTCACATACAAGTTGTGAGAGTGTGAGGTGAAGATGAGTAATCTCAATTTCTAAAGCTGTTTGTAACAAATCCTGAGGAAAAAAACAACCCCAAATTCACAACTTCTCTCTTCCTGGGACTCATGTATCAAAGGCTACAATTAAAATACATTTGGATGTTCTTCAGGAAAGGTTTCACCTTGTCCAGAAGGCAGTCCCACTGCCATAGGTCTGCGACAAATTCAGATTAATGATAACATTTCATAGTTGCTGCTACACAGTAGTTTGCTCTTGCAGAGGTGAGTTGCCTTGAAAATTGACCTTAAGTGCTAACAGGCTGGATCCAAGCTGCGTTCACAGAGTGGTACATACTGCCACCAGCTTTGCTAGTGTTCCCAGTGTCTTGGCCACTGCCAGCAGCAGGCAGTGCTGAACTGCAACAGCTCATGGCAGGTTTGGCCTGTGGATTGTATGTAGTGTTAGGTTGGACTCGGTGATCTTAGAGGGCTTTTCCAACCTTTACAGTCCTATGATTCTATGTATTACAAGCAAAAAAAGGGTAATAATTGCAATTGAGATAAGTAACTCAAGGTGACAGACCAAGCAGAAGAAATTACTGCAGGTTATCTCAGTAGGTTTTACCTGCTGACATACTGAGCCCAGGCTGCTCCGGAGTCCTGTGGCTGCATACATAGGCCCTTGTCTAACTTGGGGAAACAGCCAGTATTTCAGAATAGATTTGAAACCATTTTGTTGAGTTGTGTCTATGGAGCAGGTATTGAAGGTGTAAACAGTTTTTCAAATCTCCATTCAGATCACTAAACTACAAACCTAAGAAAGGTTCCTTGTTCACTTTTGCTTCAAACAGTTGTAAAACAAATGGCCAGAACCATCCTGGAAAATGGTCAGTTTGTTTGGCATGTGGTAAATAAGATTGTTAGCCAGTAGTGTGTACTGTTATGATTGCATCCTACCTCTCACTCATAGTCTCTACAATTACTAAGTTAGTAGAAATGGCTTTCTGCCTGTTAGGTTTTTGGTTTTTTGCCCTGTGCAATGTACACACCTTTATTCTTGTACAGAAATTCTGGAAGTTGTAGGGGAAGGGAAAGGCCCTTCAAGCAGAATTTAGTTTTCAAAATAATAGTAAATCAGAGCCAAAGACTTAGGAAGTCCTGGTAGCCTTAATGTCTGTTTTGACTGCTGGTCATGAAAATAATTTCAACACATTATCTGTGTTAGCTTGCTATATTATATGAGAATTATATGAGAATGTTGCTGTTTGTCTTTAAGGTAACAATTTGCATTGGATTTTTCATGTTCAGCAGTGTCATGTGATGGTATATGTAGTTAGCCATGAACAGTGTTCAGCAGACTAGATTGAATGGTATGAAGGCAGTGCAATGATTGTGGACCAAGTCTGGGACAGAAATAAGTGTGCTAAGGCTACAGATGCTTTTGTGCACGTATGTGTTAGTGGTTACGTGTAGCCTCACTAACAGTATTGGGTAAAATAACCGTGGCTTGGGCTGGGAATGGTGATGCTAAAACCTTCAATCTTGTCTCTAAAATGTAGCTTATTTCTCAAGTCACGGAAGGAAACCGACCTGCTCAACTCAGAGAAGATGCAGTGGCCTCCTTTGCAGATGTGGGATGGGTTGCTCAAGAAGAAGGGGAAGTCTCTACAAGGCTCAGGTATGCTCCTCAAGTCTTCTCTCTGAACTGAGAGGAAGAACCTTCCTTCTCTCCTTTGAGAATCTGCTGTGCAGTGCCATTGACAGAGACCACTTGAATGGGAGAAGAGAGAGGGAAGAGCAGTAGAAAAGTAAAGTCTGGAAAAGAAGTATTGGAGGTTAGACTAATAGGATTATCAAAGAAAGAAAGACTGGTTTGAAACCACACGGGAGATTGGCTTTGTACAAGGAAGACCGTGGGGTTTATTTATTTATTTATTGCAAAGAATCGCATGTAACAGCTTCAAACAACCTTGTCCCCACAAAAATGTCTGCTGTGGTGTGACACAATTGCTAACACTGAGTATCCAATTCTCCTGAGACTGTCATTAATATGGGGCAGTGTATTGCTCAGCTCCTCGTTAGCAGCACTGGTCCTTCTGGCAACCCAGTACTTGGCACGTTGTTTTTCACCTTTCTGGTTAAGGCTTTGCAGTCTGCTAAAGACAATTAAAAACCCGTGGTTTGTGTTTCATCTTTAATCTTCATAACGAAAACTGGCAGGGAAGCATGTGTGCACCTGTGTCCAAAACAATGGGATAAGTACTGTGGTGTTGGAGCAAGGGTTCTACATAGCACTGTCACTGCATGAAAGAGGTTGGCTGAAGGGATGAAGTTCTGTATTCCATCCTACTCAAACTGCTGCTCAGACTAGCCAGAAACAAAGGTACAGCTCTGTAGTGCAGAGTAGGTTTTTCTTCTAAATAAACTAACCTTCCAGAGAAGGGCACAGATTGTTGGCTTCAGGATTCCTGGAGGATACTGTTCTTAATTTGAAAACATGAAATAGGTTAGTAATGACCTAGATGCCCTCCAACACGACTTGCCACCGTGAAGCTTTGCATAACAAACGTTCTGGCGCTGCCACATTAATTTCAGAATCTCAGAGGGGAGTCACAGACATCAACACTTGTTCGGGAAGCACTGCTTGTGAAGTCTATTTGATACAGAAGAAATTAACTATCCAATACGACTTTTGTTTGCACAGAAACATTTTGTTTAAGGATTGAACCATAGAGTTGTTCTATTTAATGGAGACAACAGGGAGAATAGCTCTTTGGTGCTTCAAAGAACGTATTACCAAAGATGTAGGACTTGCATATTTGCTGAAACGTCTGCATGAGAAGGGGGAAGGGGGACAGATGGATGTGGGATGGGACTAAAATAATCCTGTAGATATATAATGACCTTAAGGCAAACAGCTTATAATGGAGCATGGAAAGTGAATTACTTAGCAAGTATGAGTGTTTCAAAGTGCACTGTTTATTACGTCTGTGCACAGTATTAGTGGTGGAGCTGCTGTGGATTAGGTGTTTTCCAGGCATTTGAAATTCTGTTTCGACAAGATCACATAGGTGTTACTGTTAAATATTTATTCACTGTATAATTCAGTAAACACTCTTGCAGGCATAGTTTGGTTTTTTTGTGAATGCAGTTTTATAGAGGAAGCAACTAAATGACAAATCATTTTTCCTCTACCCCTAGTCAGAGCGGTAGTGACAGCTCAGGCATAATATTTTTCTACAGTGTTAGATTCCAATCAAGACATTTCCTTAAAACACTGTTAGTGCTTTGAGCAGAAAATACCCTGTGTTATTATTTAGCTACTCAGTTCCTTTAAAGAGTGGCTAGGAGACAGGCTTTAGAGCATGAAGTGACCACTGGCTCCTTCCACCTTATTCAGGGAGTGCATGGAGGTGTCTGCTGTAGGCAGTACCCTGCTCTCTATTCATGTAATTTAGATTGCACCTAAATTTTATCATCCTTGATAACTCTCAGTTCTCCTTGATCAAACTTCTGCAAGTTGTGCTGATGTTTTTTTGTCAGTGTCGTGGAAGACGCAAATCTGTATCCAATCCTGATTTGAGGTGGTCAGAGCACAGGGCTGGTTCTAGCCTTAAACTGAGCACAGCTGCAGATCTAATGTGTTGACCACTCAGAGCAGCTTAACCCCTGCAGCCAGAGCAATGGGGCACTTGGGCTGTAGTGACCTGGAGCCATTCTGTACCCGTCTTCAAAAGTCCTATCACCAGCCCCTGCCCTTACTCTCATGTTTGAATAAACAATGGAATCCTGAGACACCTGAGAAATTCAGAGTTTGAAGTTAAGGAGGATTGAGGAGTTAAGTATGTGGTCCTATTTTGCAGTTGTCATCAATCCTTAGCAATTCTGCTTATAGAATCATGAATAGTTTGGCATTGGAATGGACCTTTAAAGGTCATCTAGTCCAACCTCCCTGCAATGAGCAGCGACATCTCCAACTCAGTCGGGTTGCTCAGCTGCTTTGGTTGGTGTCTTTGTAAGTGCTTATTTGACTTACTTGAGCAGATGCTCAATGATGCCTCAGTGTTTAACATGGCTTGAGCTTTGGTGGGTAAAAGGAAGGCAACAGAGTTGTAGTCTCTTGTGAGAAGAGGAGGGAAGGTCATGGACTCTTTGAAACTGTACAAAGGTTTCTTCTCTACAGTTCTAATTACTGTGTTAAAAAACTAGATTTAAAACCCTTTCCCATCTACTGATAAGCAGCCTCTGCATCGCTTTATTGTTTCACATACTCAATATTCCCCAACACTGCTAAAATTGGGGTTCATCCCATCAGAAGTCCAATTATTCTTTGAACTAAGAAACTCTGCCTTCTTCAGTGGAATAAACTAGAAGTGACTGTTTGCAACCCTTGGGAGGAAAGTGGTAGCATTGGAGGGGAAGAAAAATTAAATTTTAATTCCACTAAAATATACAACAGGTATGACACAGAGATACAGACTGGGGTGAGGGAGGGAGTGTATTCCTTTTTTCTTCTGCTATTAAGGATTCCACAAGAAAGCTGGCCAGGGGAAGAGAAATACAGCTAGTGGTGCAAACAGAAAAGAGGTGAAGCTCTTACTCACTTTAAGCTATGTAATGTCTTGGTGATTTGTGTAAAGACAATTTTGAAGTCAGATCATCAGCTTGTATTCCTGGTTTGTGGGTGACGTTGCTTTAGCTTTTATCTATTACAAAGCCTGTGAAGTATCTTGTGATATTTTTGTTACAGGTCAGAAGTTTGGTCAAAACCAGCCCAGCCTTTTTCAGGTGAGCTGTATCATCCTGGAAATTCCCCACGCAGACAGGTGTCCGTACAGAACCCGCTGGAAGAAGAACCAGTGCCCAGGAGAGCAGTGATTGCAAACGAAGAAGCGCTGCAGAAGATCAGTGCTCTAGAAAATGAACTAGCCACTTTAAGAGCACAAATAGCCAAAATTGTAACCTTGCAAGAACAGCAGAACTTGACAACAGGTATTAAATTAGCTGTGCTCGTAGCAGGAATTAGTTAATGGATTTGCCCCGGTTATAATTAACAATGTGCTAATTCATTTTTGTGACATACTGCAATGCTGAACACATCTCCATGTTGTTCTGGTTAGTTTGGTAGACAAACATAGCACAGTCATCAAGGGATACAGAATAGGTCTTGTAGACAAGTGACCTGACAGATTTTCTGTGTTTTCCAGTATTCCAAAAGTCTTCCTGTTTCTGTGTAAGTCTGGCAGAGTTCTAACTCTGTGAATGAGGGAAGAAGTATTAAACAGCTTTCAGAGCAAAGCTCATCATAAACATGATGGCTTAAAGCAAACTAGGAGAATGTAACTTAATTACTGACGCTGAAGTCTTTCCATCCAGTAATGAAATGGGCTCTATGATATCATTAAGTATTCATACAAGATGCTAATTATGCTTTTAGAGGATGCAATATATACATCTCAAGTAACAGAAAATGCAGTTAATTGTTTACTGAAATCATCTCTGGGGTCACACACACGTTGTGCACATGGAGCCAAAAGTGGTGCACTGTTTCTGGTAATAAGCAGAATAATTCTTTCACTGAGTTTCTTTCTCCTCTTTCCC